AGGGCCAATCGGACTCTAGGTCGTTCGTGCGTGTGTTTACGTGTCATTATTCCGATCGATAAGTCGCTGCTCCATAATCAGCAATTTACCCGTTACAACACAGTCGAATATAGGATAATGTCACGACCGAACACTACCACCTGCATGATAATCAACAGTTTTAACGACTTGTGATACTCAATGTGTTCACAAGGAGGCAAACTTATGGCAGTTCGCGCTGTTTCCAACATCCTGAAGGCTCTCAAAGTGAACAATGGTGATAATGGTCACCACAACCATACAGATGGTATGAGGAAGTTACAAGTTGACATGGACTTTCTTAGTCCGCCGAAGTATTCTGTCAACCTCAGCCTCACCGAAATTCTAAATAAGATGAGCAACACAATAAGCTTCGTGTATTGAATCTCTCTGGATCTCCTGAATCTCTTAAATCCAGAGGCAATTCCAATTTGAACGATATCCTTTCTTCTAGATATGTTGATTTAGGTTTGACTAAAAACAAATGTGCTGATAATTAATCAGATAGTACAGTTAAAATCCCAATCAGTGCAACACCCATTTGTAGTAATTTTACAGTGGCCAACAGGAAAACTAGTTGTAATAATCATGTAACCGATCATGAAATAGCGATCGACATGTTTGAAACTTACAAGCCACCATAAGTATACTTAATTAACTCTTCTCAAATTGCAATGAAGCTGCAACAAAAAAACCTTGGAAATAAGCTTCTGGAACGTGTTACACATAAACAAAATATATCATTATAGACGGCTTCTTAGTCTTATATATAGGCGTGACATTTTTGGTCCGGCTACGATGTGCACCATGCTTTCATCAGATGCTAAAGTCAACAATAATCATGATATATTTCCACGTTCCCACCCGCTTCTCTACTGGAAACGATTAATGTATTACCAATGACGACAAAATAATTGAATTTGCTCATACAATTCTGTGAGTACTCACGGAATTACTACTTATGATCTATCCTGTCTCTCGCTTATTTATCATACCTCTCACTTTCTTATTCATCCATTCATTCAGTCTTTGCTCTCACTCTAATAAAATCAGTGACTTTGAAAATCCTTTACCCCCGTAAATCCAGTCAGTGCACTTATGAAGGAGATGTGGTGCAAATTATACATTTGTGATCACTCCTTTAACGCGGATAACTACGTTCCCTTTCGTTCGGATAGACAACATGGAGTTGGATGTTGCAAAATCATCTATGTTTGTGCGAGCACCCGAGCATGTAAATTCGAGAATGTTTTGATGCTACAGATGACTCCACTTGGGTTACAGTAAACTGTAAATCTCAAAATCATCGACTGATGGCATGCATTTACATGCCACCCCATTCGGACACTAACTTTGACAAGTTGTTAACAAATATATCTCTTAATGCTTTGCACCAAACGCATACATTTGCAATCATCGGAGGTTATTTTAATGTGCCGAAAATTACATGAAATTCGAATTCAGTACCGGGTAGATATAACAAGTTAGTTGAAACATTAGAACTTTGTGGGTGGGTCCAAGAAGTCTTAAAGCCAGCTAGGGAGAATAATATACTTGATTTAGTATTTACAATCAACATCGACTCTATTTCACTGCAAGTTAGTCATGAACCTTTTGAGTGATCATAAAGTTGTACTGAGTGTTGTTCATTCTCCAAACACTATACTATCGGCCTCTAATGCTGTAACCATGTACCAGAGCGGAAAAACTGATCGACGAACCTGGAAGCGTACTAAAACTCTTATTCAGTGCTAACCATGGTAATCATACTCCACCAACAATAACAGTGACACTGCGATTAAACGCATTGCTGTGACTTCATCGCTTCAAATATCGATCATGTCATTTGTAGTGCTAATGGGGGCCAAAATATTCTTAAAACTTTCAGTAGAAGTCCTAGAAAACCAGAAACACAACCACAAGCACCAAGACTTGTATGTACTACGGAGCATACTTAACGTGATCAGTAGAATGATTAATCTCAACACAAATATTTTCCGACCATAGGGAATTAAACTTCAGGTGGCAAAAACCAAGGCTCACTAATAATCGGCCTTTCATATATCGTCTGAAATTGAGTTCCCTTAACACTGACAGATTCTTCAGAATTAAAGTCAACACTGTAGATGACCCTGATACTATTTGTGAACATTTCAACCACCATTTCTCCAGATGCTATAACACAAAAACTGAAGACTCTCATTATGTTTTCAGTGTCGGCATATAGGCCTCTCTCCACTATTGACTTCACATCTACTAATATAAATCAAGCTATAATTCTCTAAAAAAACCTATGATTGTGAATCTTATGGCCTTTGTGCATCATTCGTGAAGCACAGTGGTAGAGATTTTTTATTATTTTGGACTACAGAGCCCATCTATCTGCATAGAAACTATCGCTTATCACCCCTAACTTCAATATTGCAATAATGCTAACCATAGATCCATTCACCTGATATCCATGCTATCAACAATCATGGAAAAATCGTTGACAAACAGCTATGATCATTTTTACTTTCAGTAAGCCTGATAAGCTCACCTCAACACGGCTTTGTGACTAGACGGTCATACTCCACATCCCACATGAAAGTTTTTGACCAAATTACCCAGCGAAGAGATATCGTTCAATCAGTAATAATCCCGCAGTTTGATTTAGGTAGGGCTTCCACATTGACTCACACAACCTCCTTCTCCTGAAGCCTTCATAATTTAACATACGGAGTCTCTTTGTATCCTTGTTCAGATCATTTTTAACATAACTTATATCATTCGCTTTGGATAATCGCTGTCCTCCTTTTCATTAATGAAGTGTGCTAACCCCTTTAATTCTGTAAACCTTACCTTTTTGCTCAAGACCAAAAGTGGTTTGCTCGTTTTCGTCTTCTACCAAATAAAGTTACAATATAGCGGTAATCAAGAAGGCATAAAGAAGTTATATGAATGGGTTATCCTGTAAAATCTGATAATGAATAATTATGAAATTGAATTTATTTACATAAGCCTCAGCCCAAACCTAAACCTGGTTCTTTCGTGCTGATAGGTAACCCTCGTTCTATTGGTAGGAAAAACCAGGTCTTTATTTAGTTCGTGAGTCAGTCTTAGTGAAGCAGGAGGTTAGCTGTTCAAACACACAGCTGTTCAACATTCAATATAATACAATAGGAAATATAATGCTTATACGAAGTGAGGAAGTGAATGAATACTTGAGCTCTATAGTTTTGACATATACTTAGTTGTTTGACATCAACTCACAACTAATCAACCTAAGTCGTTGCAGTTCTACAAAAACAAGCTGAAACTTCTTAACACTGTTCGCGACAGAGGTTTAGAATATAGCAACACTTTGGACATTTCAGAGCACACTGCATCTTAAGTATCTGAATCAGGAATTTCGGATTCATAATGACAAACTTCAAATCAAGGTTACTATTATATAAAAAATGTGTCGCACTATGATAAGTAAAAGTACTCATACTGATTTGCTAATCAAGAAATCTCGAAACAGTTCAGTTTAGGGCAGACAGAGCCAGAAGAGCAGACCTCGATGTATTATATTTCGAATCCGTACTAAACGCACAATCAATTACAAAGGAATCATCAGTTAGTAAAAATATAACACCTACCCGTCTTTGAACATGGTATTCAAGTTTCTAGTAATCACATGCATAATATTTCGAATAAAATTGAAAGTGCTCAAAGGAGACTCTCCAAGGTTGTTCTGAGGTATTCCAACTAATAGGAGACTGATCAGCCCTTCGCTGAAATCTCGCGAGGCGGGGTCGTGGATGAGCACTGCTGAGGAGTCTCGCAATAGGAAGAATCAGTCGTCTAGTGCTTCCAGGTTTTCTATGGTGGTGTAGCTTTAATTGACTCGTGATCTCAACTATTGCAATAGGATTCTCACCAACAATATCAACATTTCAAGTTAGTACTTTTCTGGACCAGGTGCATTAAATAAAGCCCTGTCCCTAACTACATGCACATAAACGGTATTTCTCATTACTTGGAAATAACCCCATTGTACTCTACCATATCATCCCAAAAACCGACTGACGAAAAGAATAATCTATCGATTCCGAGGACCTACACAAACTTACGTCAAAATTTCTTTCTTATTCCCTGTTCAACTACGTGGAACAGACTTAATGGAAGCCCCCGTAGCAGTAAAACCATAACCCACATTGAAAGTCTCATTCGTGGCGTCCTCTTCGAAATCGGTCTTTATCGCCTATTTAATATAAGAGTAATTAACAGTGATTTATAAAAACAAGATCTGACACCAATTTAATTGACCGTAAAGCAGAATATAACCTTTCCCATTTTGTTCGTTTGTTTAATTCTTTGGTGTATTATCCGCTTATGTTCATATTAATTATTGTTATCATGAATGATTCTCTGACACATCAAATCTTCCGTTTTTTCTCTCTTCATTCTGCATTAATTCCATCCCCCACCTACTCAGAATTTCCATATTGAAAAACAGTATATTGTATCACAGTGAAATAAATTGATTATTCGGATTCATCTTATCTTAACTACGTAAGCATGGTCCATGCAAACTGATATTTGACGATTATTCTCCGCAATTAAGACTTTTATTACATTATTCCAAACTATTACTGCACCAACTCATATTCGATCATCAAATCTTGACGCACCAACGATTTATTTTTTGATTCGTTCTGTAATCCATATAATACTATTTATTCTTATTCTCTTCCACAAACATACGTATTAAGTTAATTCCATATTTCACTTTTATTTCCTTCGTTTCTTCTCCATATTCATCTCAAAATTCTTCAAAATTTCACGGGACTAGTCATGCAAACATTACTAAAACCTCCGTATAATTGAATTTCTCGATAAACCCAGAATGGTTTCCTCACAACACTTGTGTATTAATAGTCTGTGCGTGGATAATAATATTAATAATAAATATCCTCACTGCAAGAGACTAGGACCTAGTGAAAGATAGTAATATTATGGTAGATGTAATTCTCTTAGATCCGAGTAAAGCCTTCGATAAAGAATTTTGCCTGGGTCTTCAGCCAGAACTGGAGAGTTCTGGAATCCGCTATGAAATTAGAGGCTGGATAAGTGACTTTACTGATGACAGGAGACAAGAAGTACCGGTAAATGGGGCCAATAGGGGACCAAGTTCATCGATTTTAAAATTCTGAGGTATTACAAAAGGAGGTATTGGTGATCCATTGCTACTAGACATGGAAGCCCGTTAAGCGAAAGCTTATTCTTTTCCATCCACAATTGTTAATACACCGAGATGTGACTTATGCACAAAGAAAAATCTGAGACGTTACTTAAGTTGTCAGTAGGAGGTGTATTTGAGTCTGTCAGTCTTGTATCCCACAGCCACAGTCAGTGGTTCCAAATATGACTGATATAATAATAATTGGGTATCCGGAGTAATCACCTTATGAGAGTATAAATATGATTTGTAAACGTGGATAACTTTATAGTCCTAAGGGCTATTAGCAAGTCACTTCATTACATGTATAAAGTAATATTTAGGGTATTACATCTGATGTTTGTGAAGCAACACTTAGAATATGGGATCCAACTAACAAACTGTTGCTTCAGTCATGGTGTGGATATGCTAGAACGACTTCAACAGTGAGGGGCCAAAGTGGTGGAAGGTCTCACAGACTTGCCTTATGAAAGCAGACTGAGATGCGTCGACCTATTTCCATTATCTTACCTCAGTTTGTGAGGTGATGCAATCTTGGCTTAATGTATACTAAATGAAGATTTTGGTACTGGTATGTCTTGCCTTTACATTTTATCCATGACTGATCATTTGAGAACAGGAGGCTAGGTGGCCTGTGTTATTTTTGTCGATGGTGGTCTCTCAGTTGATTCAAATTTCCTTTGAAAGAGACGACAGATGGAGCTTCAATCACGTATTGAAGTAATGAATTTCATCCGTCGATACTCAGCTGATAAGTAATTTGTCCTAGGCTTGTTAACATTTTTGGAGCGTCCTCATAAATTCTCTGTTTTGAACGACAAGAAAAGTGAGGACGTATCAGGTGCAAATTTACTATCAGGTAATTTGAAAACTGTGATCAGGTCGCCTCTGTCTCTTCGATATGACAATGGAAATGAGTTTAGTTTAAACAATCAACCATCACAAGGGAGCTTTGCTATACCGAAAATCAGCTTAATTGCAGTCCTTTGAATCTCTGCTAAAAGCCCACTGTCTCATTATAGGCAAGGGCTAGCCGCTTGTATGCAGTATTTAAGTTGAGGACGCACGAATACTGTATGAACGTCTTTAATGAACCAGTGTGAAGAGTTTCTCAACCCCTTGGTGCAGCCCATGGGATGCGCGGGCAGTGATCTTTAAGTATAAATTTCCAAATTCATCCCAAAGCCCTTTCGACGGCGGACTGATTCTATTGTCCAATCTGCTGAGGATGCTGAGTGTATGATATCTTGTATATTTGCTTTCATGACGTTAGGTCTGGACTGAACTGACGCGATTTCGTTTTTGACAATTATTTGGCAGTCAAAGTTTAGAACTGCGTGGTCACTTTCTCCTAGGGGTGGCGTGTAATCGAGGTTCGTAACGTTGTCCTCGTAGTGGGTCAGTATAAGATCTAGTAAGGATTGGAGATGGCACAGGTATTCAGTGTTTGACAACGTTTTACCAGTAATATCTTCTATTATAACTCGTACCCACCAAGAGAAATCAAGACAGAATCGAGGAGATCAGAAGTTGTATTTGACGATTACCAATATATCGGAATTGTCTGATCTAATCTGGCTGGCGATTGCAGTAGCAGTTGAGCACGGCGTTCCCACACGTGGTTTGGTGCGGATGCATGACCGCGTGCCTTTAGCTAGGTGAGTCCACTAAAACTAATCTGGTCAGCATCCAATGTCGAAAACTTGCAGATCTATTTATTTTGGGGATTTATTTACCGCTACAGATCACTTCTCTCTAGTGGGGTAGTGATGTGCGATTGTACCGAAGGGAAATCGACGTGAATAAGAGTTCCTCCTAAATACGCTGCTTTGAGGCGATCGGTGCTGATGCTATCGTTTGTTCCGTTCTTATCGACTATACAGTACTTAGATTCACGTTGAAGAACTTTGAAAGGTCCCTCTTATGCTGATTCGAATGGTCGTCGATGCGAGTCTCGACGAACGAAAACGTGTGTACTATATCGTAAGTCAGGTTGAACGAAAACATCGGTTGATTGTGGTCGAGTGGAAGCAGGTTTAACTGAACGCATTGCGTTAGTAAGCCTGTCCGTGTAGGAGGTTAGATCCATGCTCAATGAAGAGGATGAAGGATCCACGAATTCTCCTGGAAGTCAAAGTGTCGTTCCATAAACGAGTTGAGCCGCAGTGTATCCAATGTCAGATCTCACTGCATTGCGAATACCTAGTAAGACGAGTGGAAGAGCGTCGGTCCACTGTGAAACGTTTGCAGCTGATAGTGAAGCTTTCAGTTGTCAGTGAAAACGTTCTACCAACCCGTTTGCTTGTGGGTGGTAGGCGGTCGTTCGGAAACGAGTGATTCCTAAAAGTGTGGTCAGACAACGGAAAAGATCAGATTCAAACTGCCGTCCGTGATCTGTAGTGATGGTTTGAGAGCAGCCGAAGTTTGCTACCCATCGTTCGACGAAGGTGCGGGCCACTGTTTCAGCAGTGATGTCCTTGATAGGTACTGCTTCTGGCCATCGAGTGAAACGGTCTACGCAGGTTAAGAGGTAAGAGTATCCATTTGAATCTGGTAAAGGTCCTATCAAATCCAAATGAACATGGTCGAAACGAGCATCGGGAGTCTTAAATGAGCCTAAGGGACATTTATTGTGTCTGATAAAATTAGATTTTTGGCAGCTTACACAGGAGCGTGCCCACTCCCTCACGTCTTTATTCATGCCAGGCCAGCAAAACCGCCCTTCTATAGGCTTAATTGTTGCACAAACACCTGGATGAGAAAGTTTGTGCAACGTATTGGAGACATTGCGTCGATAACGTTTTGGCATGATTGGGCGATCCCTACCTGTCGATGTGTCACAAAGTAAGGTTTCCTTACCTGTTCCGATCTGTTTGGTACGTAACTTGAGGGTTGTAGACGAGAACTCGTGCTGAAGATCAGTGTCTTCTTTTTGAATCTGGGCGAGTTTAAGAAGGTCGATTCCTTGGAAACTGTTCAAGGAAGTTATGCGAGACAAAGCGTCTGCGACTACACTGTTTGCTCCAGAGATGTGTTGAATATCTGAAGTAAACTGCGAAATGTATTCCAGTTGTCGAGACTCACGAGGTGAGTTTTTGTCTGAAGAGGAGCTTAACGAGAAAGTAAGAGGTTTATAGTCAGTGAAAAGGGTGAATTCATGGCCTTCGATATAATGTTGAAAATGCCGTGCAGCACAATACATCGTTAGGAGTTCCCTACCGAATGTGCTGTACCTCAATTCGGTGTCTAGCAATCGTCTGGAGAACAATGCTAAAGGTTGTAAGACTTCATCGATTGTCGATTCGGATGCGTCTACTGCGGTGCTAATGGGTGCTTGAGTGTCCTGATGTGCAAGCATTGTTGCTTTAGCGATAAGTTCCTTAATTGTGGGGAATTCTTTTCGTGCGGTGTCGCCCAAATGAATGGATTTCGCATTTCCACGAGGTTGGTCGGTAAGAGGTTTCATGAGTAAAGCGCACTTAGGTACGAATCGTCTATAGAAACTTGCAAGGCCGTTAAACGTTCGTAGTTGCTTGATCGTGGTCGGTTCTGGGTAATCCAGAATTGCCGCCACTTTGGTCCTAAGGGGTCGAATGCCTTGAGCATCTATAGAGTGTCCTAGGAAATCTAATGAGTCGGTCCCGATTTGGCATTTCTGAACGTTTACAGTAATGCCATGTTTTTGTAGTCGTTCGAAAACAAGATCCAGATGCTTGAGATGTGTTTCTCTGTCCGGACTTGCGATTAGGCAGTCATCAACATACGCATGTACGAAGTTGAGACCTCGAAAAACGTCGTTTATGAATCTTTGGAATGTTTGAGCAGCATTCCTTAGACCGAAAGGCATTCGCGAAAATTCATAGAGTCCGAAGGGGGTTATGATAGCTGTTTTCGGTATGTCGTCCGTGGCCATGGGGATTCGGTTATACGCTTTAACCAAGTCGATTTTCGAAAAGACAGTTGTACCTTTCAAGGTAGCTGTCAAACCGTGAATGTGAGGCAACGGGTAACGATCGGGAATGGTTTTCGCGTTCAATCGCCGATAGTCACCAGTTGGACGCCAATCGTTGCTGTCCCTTTTAGGGACCATGTGCAACGGAGATGCATATGGATTATCGGTCCGATATTGTCGGGCCAGAAGGGCATGAGTTAGAACGAGGGTGGAGACATAGTCTTAATCTTAAATACCTTGGGGGTCTGTTCAGTCATAGGGGAAAATAGAGTACGAGAATACACGAGTGAAAAAGATATAGATGTCCAAAAACGCGGGAAAAAATATCACAATGTATAAAAAATTAAAATAAAGCAATGATATATAGAATCCCAAAATGGAACAGATTCATAGTTTACGATTTGGTGGCACTCACCTCACTGCATGACACTTTCCACAGGGTATCAGCAGCCTCGGAGATGGCAACTACTTTTTTGCACTGTCCAGCAATCAATCAGAGGTTTTCTAAAGAAACGCATAGGTAAGAGAAACTGACAAACACAAAAAGTGGAAAACTGCAAAATGTTAGAACTGAAGTACAAACAAATACAAAGAACCAATGCACTTAAAGTTAACGATGACAAACTACTTTGGAAAAAAAGATCCTTCTGGAGAATACTTTAAACTGAATAAAGAAGGTTGAAGGGAAAAAAGTAGTTTTGATGCGTAATTTACTTTCAAAACGATAAAATTAACTCATCAAGAAAAAATGCCACTGCCAGAACACGTAATATCAACAAATTATACTGACACATCCAAAGCGAGATTGACTCTTGGTTGTACGACGAATTTCAAGGATTAACATTGGTCGTTTGACCCCTATTCCACTACTAAAGTGTGAAGACTTTTGCTGTTTAAGGTCTCTGTACAATTTAAATACAAAGCTTAACTTAATATCACCTGCGAACTTCTACTTGTGTCCATAAAATTATATTTGCCTAGAGCTTGTCTGTTAGTTCCTCTTCTATGCAATGGAGGCAGGCTATGTTTGTTTTTTAGGGTCAAAGTGGGACCTTGAACAAATGTTGATCGGTTCGAACCGGAAGTTCTTGGCGTGATTTCGGCATATGTAGTATTTTGGGTAAGCAGGGTCGGATAGTTATTAGGTATCTAGAATTCCATCTAGTATAGTGAATAGCATGGCTCTTGTGAAAAATTTTCACTCTGGCACAGTAGAAATTGCAAGGATATAGGTGACTGATTAGTAAATATGGGTTCAAATGTTATGATCTGTGGGTGTGCATATAGAGATTAAACCACTAAATAACGTGGCAGATGATAGGCTCAACGGTCCTCGTCCTGTCGAAAAGTTCTGGAGTTTTTTACGAAAATAAATTCGGGAATTGTGCGTGCTGTTGTATCTTTTGAACCGTTTTAAATAATCTAAAGCCGGACAACATTTAGGGAATTGAGCACAAGTTTTATTTACAGTTAACATGACTGTAGCCACAGAATGCTTGTTATAATTTATCATATGTTTAATAAACAAGGTATGGGAGTACGACTTCTATGCCTATCCTCTTTCTGAACACTGCCAACGTGTGAACATCGTTTCTGACAAGTCTAACAACTTCCGGCCCGCAGTTACTCGGCCAGAGTACTAGCTAACTTCGGCATACGACTCGGAGTTCTCACCTGTGGTTGAGATAGTAGCCTGTCCTTTTCTCAGCTTTTCTGATTGTTCGCTTGCTAGTTGTGTTTGTATACATTAGTATTTTGTACAATAGATTAGGTGGTGTCAAGTACTCTGTGTACATACTGACAGATGGATTTGCTTGTTTTTACTGGAATCTGCTGTTCAATCCTACTCCAACAACTAGTGTTTGGTTCTCGAAGAGCTTATAATCTGTAGGAATTGTGACTTAACCTTAAAAACTGGATATACATTGTCTCAAACATGTTCAGTCAAACCTGGATTATCAATACCCATACTCAATCCTTTTAGGTAAAACCTGGTCCCCGCTTGATTTCGACTGGCCCTTACTAAAGAGATTCTGTTTACGACCGCTCATTGCGATAACTATCGCTTTCATGTTCTCTGTTTGGGGTGGGGCGACTTTCTAATTACTTCTGGTCGCTTGTTATTTTTATGCTCGTAGTTCATTCATAGTCTTTATTAGTGTTCTTACTTTTGAAAATGTTTTTTTTCTACAGATTCCTGCTGCTTTCGTCTGAAAGTTTTCCTGGATTCTGTTCATTACTTTTGACCAGTTGACAAATTCATCTAGCTCTAGTAACGTTTTCGTAAACCTTGTCATGCACAATGAACGTCGCAGTTTTAGATCAAATCTGGATTCTAATATAGCAGATACTATTCGAGTAGTAGCCTGCAAACAAAATCAAGACTTACGAATTACTTTCGCTAATGATTATGCGTGTTCAGACAGACCAAGACCTACCGGTAGCAAAGTGGCATATTCTGCTTCAGGCTCAGGATTAAGAGAAACTAGTGGTCACAAAATGCATCGTCAGGCAGTTACTTCAGCCCACAAGTGAGATGTCTCTTCTTTTAGATTGATTTATTATTTCAGTACAAGTTACTTGCTTTCAACATTGTATTTACTGGTAGGTTTTTGTAGGTGAATCGTAGCCTCTATACTGAAATGACATGAAACGTCACAAATATGTGATTGTTTCTACTAATTCACTTATGCAAAAACATCATTGAGCTAGAACACTTGTAGTTATGTTGTTAATTGTGGTTTTAAGCGAATGTCCGGCGCTTTAACCGGATCCCAAACCAATGGTGCACATGGGCTCCAGTATCCTGCGGGAACAAATAGCGTATGAACCAATCGTTGGTAACCGGCTACCATAGGATTGCATCTCCTTACGATGCTCCACTGCCTTGTGGGTTAGACCTTTAGGTCAAAGGCTCGGGGTGTGGCCCCCTAAGATAACCACCTACTTCGGTCTGGGCACCCGGGCAGTATCACAGTCCACACGCAAATGATGAACTCTCTATATCTATGGAAACTACTTTTCTCGCTTCGAAAAACAATCAAATGATTCAAATTATTATCATCACTATTATTGTCATTATTATTATTATTATTATTATTATTATTATTATTATTATTATTATTATTATTATTATTATTATTATTATTATTATTTTCCACATTATTCACCCTCTTTTATACTTATACAGCGGCTCGTCTTTGGTGGAAATTCGACTGTATCTAAACGTTCTCGAGTCACTGTCCGGTTGAAAATTGTATGTTTCCACTGAATATGAGTACTGAAGCAGTTTTTCTGAAACCACGTGCGCCATTCAAACTCAGTCAGTCAGTAACAACGTACAACTTCGTACATACGTACATCAGTTCGAGTTGCCACACCACATTAGCATAGAGATGCAGCGGTCGATTCAAATCCCGTAGTGGTAGAGGTAATAAGAGTATAAGCAGTAATCGGGAAGATTAGTGTTTGGAGATGTTATTCAAGGAGTATAATACAGTGAACTAAATTTGAGAGGAGAAAAAAAAGACAAGGAGGAATAAGGAGATCAAAATTTGGGAGAACACAAAGAGTGTATGCACCTGCGCCACTGCAAACGATTTTGAGCCATGTCATTCAGGGTCTCTAACCATCGGTTGCTATCATCTCGCGGTCCCCAACCATGTAGTCTACACCTACCAACATGACTTAGTCCACTTGTCAGTGACTTCATGGACTTGTGCCATGTTTTGGTCTGGCCGCCCCTAGCTTTCTTCCAACCTACTCCTATACCACTGAACATCGCACATCGAGACAGTCGGTCGTTGGGCATACGTAACACGTGTCCAAGCCATCTCAACTGATGAAGTTTCACTACGTCATCAATTGATTTGCCATCCTTACCTAGTACCCGTTTCCTAACAACTGTGTTACTTACTCGATGGTCCCAGGATATACGAGCAATATTTCGAAGACACCTATGATCAAATACTAGTATTCTACGAATATCCTCTACTCTTACCGGCCATGTTTCACTGCCATGAAGTAGGACGGGACGAACTACTGCGCAGTAAACACGTCCTTTGGTTGATAGACGGATATCTCGCCTACGCCATAAATGACGCAAGTTGGCAAAAGCTAGTCGAGCCTTCTGTATCCGTGCTGAGATTTCGTCACACACCAGACCACAAGGGCTGATGAGACTTCCAAGATAAGTGAAGCGATCGACACGCTCAATTACTTCACTCCCTATTATTAGTTCGGGTGTCGATGCTACCCAATCCTGAAGCAACATTTTGCATTTCGAGGGGTAGAATCGCATCCCGAACATGCTTGCATTGTTGCTTAGAGTGGTCAGAAGACTCTGCATTTTGTCAGCGTCTTCGCCAAATAAAACTATGTCATCAGCATATTCAACAAGTGGACCTCCCGGTAAAAGTTCAACCCCTCTAAGTTTAGATGAGGAGATTGTTATCTCTAAAAGTACGTCGACCACAAAGTCGAACAGAAATGGCTGCCTTCAATGTTCGCACACTTACGCAGGTTGGAAAACAGATAGGGCTGGCTATGTCTTTGGAAAGTCTTGATATCGATGTCTGCTGTCCATCCGAGACCCATATTCAAGACTCTGGTGAAGTACTACAAATCCGCTCTCCATCTGTCACTTCAAAAAGCTTGTTTTACGTGCGCTTATCCGGGAACCCTGTGGCATCTTCGTTTGGTCTTGCTAGCGTTGGTGTCGCACTAAGCGCTAGAGCTAAGGCACCACTAATCGATTGGATCCCCATTAAGAGTCGGTTATGTGCTGTTAGATTAGAAAGTTCCATCAAAGTGAGAAGAAATCGGCGTGAGAAACGATGTCTTTTCGTCATCTCCGCCTATGCCCCGACAGATTGCAGCTCGGATGCAATCAAAGATGAGTTTTACCACCAGTTATCTGTTCTCCAGAAAGTGCGTTATTGTGCGATATTGTAGTAATAGCCGGAGACTTGAATGTTCAGGTCGGGCGTCTAGGCACAGAAGAGAGTCGTTTAGGTGGCCGATGGGGACTCGTTGGTCGCAGGTCAGATAACGGGGACCGTCTACTGCAACTTTGCACAGACCACAACCTGTTTCTGGCTAGCATTAACTTTCGGCACAGTCACCGCCGATGTACCACCTGGCGTCCTCCCTCTGCATCCTAAGCCTGGACTCAGATTGATCACATCGCGATCAGCTACAGCTGGCATGGTTGTGTGCAAGACTGCCGCTCCTTTTGGAGTACCTATCTGGACTCTGATCATGCCATGGTCTTCGCTAATCTTACCTTACTTTTCAGTGGCCAACGAAGTGACCGCCACCAACGGATTGATGTTAGCAAGCTGGTTGCAACTTCTACTTCCGATTGCGTCCAAGCTATTGGCTCCCGTCATACTTCGTAGACTGTTCAAAACCCGAAAAAGATTGACTCGCGAGGAGCAGGCTGGGTTTCGTTCTGTTCGAGGATGTATTGATCATATCTTCACCCTCCACCAAATGTTAGAACACCGTCATAGTTATCAAAGGCCAACAATCGTAGTGTTTCTTGACATCAGGGCTGCCTTCGATTCGTTGGATAGGACTGTTCGCTGGGATTGTCTATTGAAGAAGTGTGTGTCTGAGAAGTTTATTAACATCCTAAAAGCCCTATATACAAACACCTCAGGCAGAGTGAGGGCATACAACCACCTCTCTCCATTGTTCTATTCGAGCAGTGGGGTTAGACAGGGTTGCCTAATCTCACCATTCCTCTTCAACTTTGCCATCGATGACATTCTGGAAACAGCTGTGATGGATGTAAGTAGTGGCGGTGTAGATCTGTTGCCTGGAGAAAGACTTCTCGACCTTGAGTATGCGGACGATATTGTCTTACTGTGCGATAATGCCCAAGGCATGCAATCCGCACTTAATCAGTTGGCAATCAGTGTCCGTAGGTATGGTATGTGCTTTGCACCTTCGAAGTGCAAAGTACTTCTACAAGACTGGCAGGATTCTAATCCTGTACTCACCCTGGATGGTGAGCAGATAGAAGTAGTCGAGAAGTTCGTGTATCTGGGTAGCTGCGTAAGTGCTGGTAGGGGTGTGAGTGATGAGATCAATGCACGTATCGTGAAAGCCAGAGCGGCTTATGCCAATCTGGGCCACCTTTGGCACCTTCGTAATGTTAGTCTGGCTGTAAAAGGTCGGATCTACAAGGCGTCGGTGAGAGCAGTTTTGCTCTATGCTTGTGAAACCTGGTCTCTCCGAGTTGAGGATGTTAGACGACTCTCTGTGTTCGATCATCACTGTCTCCGAAGGATTGCTGACATCCAGCTGCAACACCATGTTAGTAATGCAGAGGTTCGACATCGTGTGTTCGGGCACAGAGATGATAATGCAATTGATGTCACCATCTTGAAACACCGACTTCGGTGGTTTGGACATGTTCTACGAATGTTGTCCCAGAGAATTCCACGTCGTGCATTATTTGCCAACGCCGGGACTGGTTGGAAGAAGCGGAGAGGTGGTCAGTGTATGAAATGGTGTCGTGGTATGAAAGAAAGCTGCAAAGGACTGGCTTCTGTTGGTCCTTCACGACTCCCTGGTTGGGGTCTGAGAGATGGTGCTACACAGTGGCTAGAGACGTTATCAGATATGGCTCAGAATAGAAGCCAGTGGCGATCCTGCTGTAACCTTCTTTTACTTTCTTCGTAAAAAGTGGTTGTATCTTCCTTAACTGAAAGATTTCTTCTGATTGTACCTTTCCGTTTCCCTCATTATTACTATTGTTATTATAATATTATTATAACACTACCTTACACTAATCTGTTCGTTATTGTTCTTTTTTTTACGCTCCTTACCTTCTTTTTTTCTGTTCGAATTCTGATTGTTTTGTGTGGCGCATATATATTTGGTGCCCTCTTGTAGCAATATTTATATGCAAATAAATGAATAATTATAATACTTAAAGTAATTTGGGACACGCAGTAAGTTAGTGGTTCAGGTATTTATTTATATTTATTTGAACATAAACATTGTTACGAGGGGGCACCAAATGCACACGTGCCACACAATAACAATGAGGCCATTAGCAGTTATTATTGGTATTTGTGAGGGCTGTGATACTACCCAGGTTCCCAGATCGAAGCAGGTAGTTTTCTTAGGCGGCCACACTCGGAGCCTTCACCCTAAAGGTCTGATCCACATGGCAATGGAGCAACGTCGGGAGATGCAGTTCCATGGTAGCCGGTGACCAATAATTGGTTCGTACGCCGTTTGTTCCTTCAGGATCCTGGAGCCTTTGTGCACCATTGGTTCGGAATCAGGGTTTTCCAACTCCCCTAGGTGAACCCTCTGTTTCCACTAACTCGGTTAAAGTACCAGACATTTGCTTTTCGTCCTCTCGATTATGTAAACAACACCCCTGCCACGAGAAGGCAGTGAGTAAGACTTCCATGACAGTGGCTTTATACGCGTAGCTATATGAGAGCATTTCGAGAGGGAGAGCGAACTCTCCTCTCCTTCGGCTGTACCAATGCATTTGGGTATATTGGTTCAGATAATTGGTGTTCTACCAGTAAGTCCTAGGTGATAGCCCCTTATTGTATACGTTAGTTGAACAGCCACGTGGTATCAGTTATCCTCAAATGGTGTGGTGGTTGAAACTGGGTGCCCATGCTTATTAGACGGGTTACATGAGTCAATATTTAGCTTAAGTAAAGTTACATTTTAGTTTGTAAGTTGTTTGTATCAAATGATGGCTATATTTATTACTCAAGATAGCTAAACTAATAAAAGATTTTACTTCTTTTATAGAGGACCTCAGCTGAATAGAAACCATGGAAATGATGCCACTTTTGTCGCAACTCCCCTGGATTCACATACTCAAGTCAGTTACGGATCTGCTAACAGGCGTCCACTAATTAATAAATCAGGTGGGTAATTGAGATCTATATGACTTCATGATATTAAATAGATTGATGTCAGGATAAAAAAGTGCAAGCTTTTAGAACCAGACATAATGTAAATCTCACAGACTGTTTAGAATCACTATTAATTACACACAAAATTGTTTTAGGTCTATGATTGTCATTCAGTGTATTTTTACCCAGTTTACTTTGTCACACAAATGGTTGTAATATCACAACTCATTAGTGTGATTGCCTAACTCCTTTATTAGATGAGTCTAGAACTCAAGTAACCTTCTTTAGTCTATATAATTGTAGCATTTCCAATTGTCACAATATATATGTTCACTAAATAAGAACTTTCGTCTAAATTTAAACGAATAGTTTCACAATATTTGGGTGCCGAGTTAATCTGAGTCATTAAAGAGGACGAATATATATTTGCAGAATCTCAGCGAATGAATTCTAAGTAAATCCAACGTTTCTCCTGGCAATCTGGTCCAAGCTTTTTCAATGAAAATATAATTAAACAACAAAATTATCGAATATAACTAGGTACATAGTTCTCTGGTTTACTGTATACTGAATAAGTTATCCAATCAACGTTAACAATGTTAAAGTATGTATTTACATTAGTGTGTAAGAGATATGTGGTGTGAAACGAAAAGTGTTAAGATAACAAACTGTGTGTATACGTAAGTGATGTGAGAAGAAATTTCATTCAACTATATATTGTCTTCGGTCTGTGTATATTCAGAAAATATATCATTTTATATATGAAATGAATCAAAATGTCACAGCATGCATTAAATGAAGATAAATAAACAAGATAAAAGACCGAATTTAAAGAGGAATGTATTTGTAATTGAAAGTTAGTGTTATTTTAATGTTCCAGTCAATTGTTTAACATATTCAGATAAGATAACTGATTTGAAACTGTTGATTAGTTAATATGATAAAGACTGATCAAATGGAATAAGGAGTTCAGGTTTACTTATTAATTATTAGTTGCCATGGGACAGCTAGTTGTATTCCATCTCTCCTATTAATACTGTTTGAATTAGCCCATATATGTAGGGCTTCGGCTGTTAGTCGTTCTTTGTAAGAATTAAATCCTTTTTGAATGATTCTTGCGCCACTGAAATCAACTGTATGACCCGATTCAATCGAGGGTAATGCTATCGCTGATTTGTTCTCAAGCTTTTTTACATCATCTGAGGATTTAGGAATGTGCTTTAAGCACGGTTTGTGTCCCTTCACCCATACATTCAGTTGCCTTGATGTTTCACCTACATACGTTGCATTATAGTCATTACATTTGATTTCATAAACACAATTCTGTTGTTCATCCTTGTGTATTGGATCTTTGATTCTTACTAGTTTTGATTTTAGAGTATTGTTTGTTCGAAAGAATACTCTTATATTTTGAAGAGTTAGAATCCTTCTGATCTCTTCTGAAATACCTTTACGGTATGGGATTACAATTGTGTTAATCCATTCTTTATGCTTGACTCTTTTTTTTAATAATATCATTTTGTTATTCATTCTTAATTATTCTTTTAATAAAACCCTTCGGATAATTATTCATCATTAGCATGGGCTAATTCAAACAGTATTAATAGGAGAGATGGAATACAACTAGCTGTCCCATGGCAACTAATAATTAATAAGTAAACCTGAACTCCTTATTCCATTTGATCAGTCTTTATCATATTAACTAATCAACAGTTTCAAATCAGTTATCTTATCTGAATATGTTAAACAATTGACTGGAACATTAAAATAACACTAACTTTCAATTACAAATACATTCCTCTTTAAATTCGGTCTTTTATCTTGTTTATTTATCTTCATTTAATGCATGCTGTGACATTTTGATTCATTTCATATATAAAATGATATATTTTCTGAATATACACAGACCGAAGACAATATATAGTTGAATGAAATTTCTTCTCACATCACTTACGTATACACACAGTTTGTTATCTTAACACTTTTCGTTTCACACCACATATCTCTTACACACTAATGTAAATACATACTTTAACATTGTTAACGTTGATTGGATAACTTATTCAGTATACAGTAAACCAGAGAACTATGTACCTAGTTATATTCGATAATTTTGTTGTTTAATTATATTTTCATTGAAAAAGCTTGGACCAGATTGCCAGGAGAAACGTTGGATTTACTTAGAATTCATTCGCTGAGATTCTGCAAATATATATTCGTCCTCTTTAATGATATGTGTTCACTACCTAGGAAATACGCATTTATGTGTTTTTTGATTTGTGCTTCAGTACTATTTGATGCCCCAAGAATTCGTAAAATATTTTCGACTTAAGTAGGTTTACATATCAACGTTTTTCTAAACGGAATTGATTTGTCGGTCGAATTCCAACTTTTACAAAACAAATCAATTTTAAAGAAAAGCATGTGAACATGTTAACTGACAATTTCAAGTTTTTCATTCATAGGTTAAATATTCGGCAACGTTTAAGAATACACCAGCGTAGATGCAAAGTACTGTATTATAAACCAACTTTGTCGTTTGTTGTACCACCCAGTCTTAACATAAATCGGTTCTCACTGTGGGAGCGGCTTTAACTTCATGCGTAATACTTGTCCAAGTCATAGAATTTAGTGTCTTAAGATGATAACATTTATTATAATGCTTTTCACTATCCTCATACACGTTGTTCATTTCAGTATTTTCATGCACACAATTACCACAAATTAGTGGCGGCTTTCCAAAACCAGTGATAATCGAGTTTAGTTAGTCATTTGGTTCTCTTCATTTCTATGACAGTCGGAACACACTACATACGAATGGCGGTTGGTAACTAAATCCCTGTGTGATACTACCCAATATCAGAGGATGTCTTCTATATACTAAAACTTGGGCACTTCAATTAGTAGATCTTCATCGCCGTTACGTACTCCAACTCCTTCCCAGAAAGATGAAAAGTGTGGTGATTCTGGGCAAGCCTCACTACTAGTTTAGGACTGTAAAAAGTGGTAGATATATAATATCACTTCACTTGCACTGTTTTTTAGGGCTTTGAATTTGGTAATATATCCAAGTCCATTAAAGTGATTGTAATTATTCGTATGCTCCGCTGCTCACGATTTCGTTTTAAGAACAAACGATTGACTTTTACAATAAGTAACCAGTGACTACTGCTCTTTGTGTTTTTTTATAAACAGTCAACTTTTTAAAACATACTGGCTCTTGTTAAATTATGTTGTGAAGATATTACCATGCTTAAAAACATTATTACAAAGAGTTGAGGTCATTCTTTTTCATTATATCATCCAATTTTGTCAAATATATCTTTGCGATTACTGAAGGTGTTTGTCGGAACTTTTCATCATTTTTTCTGTTTTCTTTTTCTTGAGGTCTTGAGATTCATGTGGAATTTTCATGTGAATCTTTAACCCTAACCATATGGTCAGGTGACCCGATTTCTGGTTTCAAGGTAGATTTACAGAATTACCCTGGTAGTGAGTCAGTTTAAATCTACCCGAGCCTCATTCATTTAATTCTTTCTGTTTGTTGTGAGCTATTTACGTGTTTGTTTGTGTTTCTTTATGTACAGTTTCATTTGTTCAGAAAAAATGTCTGTTCAATCAAAACCCTTCACACATTAAACAAAAGCGCATTTCTATCTGCCCATGCTACTAACCTTGACCGTTGTAGCCTGCGGAGTTTTGCGTACATTCTATTTTTCTTTGTTCGATATTAGATGGAATTTAAACAGCAAATAAGTATTTCAGAAGCCAACGTATTTTGGCAGTTATTGTTGGTCCATTGAAATACTTGTTTGGGTTAAAATGTTAAGCGTTTTAGGTGTAGATACAATACTACATTACCTACCTATTAAACTTGAAAGTCACGTTTTTATTCATAAGACTCATTAAGGTAAAAAGTTCTAGTGGGAGGGGGGTAGCAGTCATAGTTGTTTCATATATTCCTATTGTCGATCCGCTCCCAGTATTGTATTATAATCCATCCCGTTATATCACCATACTTGCTTCATTTAGAAGCGAACTTTCTTATTATTCCAGATGCGATCATCACTGTTCTAATGATCTTGTGTATAAGTGATTGTCGTCTTAGGTTGTTACCTTCACTTGTTATTGTATTTCCACTTTGTCTTCGATTATCCTCTAACCATATAATTCCTTCACGCTTATCATACGGGTTAATAAAATAGATCTCTTTCGATGTACATTGATCGAAAAATGACTTGAGTGTCACACTTGTAGAAGTTCGTTGATGTTTTTAAAATCTCATTCCACAATATCGTCTATGTACGTTGATTTATTCGATAGTGGCATAACTTTATTATTATTATTATTCGAAACCCATGTAAGCGTTGGTAAGGCGGACACGTTTCTAATACGTTGTTCATTACAAGTAGTGGGACCTGTCTTGTAGGTGGATGGTGGCTAAAAGTGGAATCCAGGGCGCAATATTGAGGCGATCCGCATAGGATGCACATATGCCGATAAGGGACTGATCAATGAGAAGATTCAAACAACCAATACACAAGTGAACTATTTTATAGGTGTTGTTGCGTTTGTTTGTCTTCATTATTATACCTTTCAGTTTGTATTGAATCGAGTAGTGTTGGCTTTATGAGGAACATTGGTTCTAAGAGATTTTAAAATCATCATACCGACTTACGAGATATTTTACATACCAGTTTCACAATTGATTGACCACTGGGTGGTGATCAATGTCATGCTTGTCTAGTCCTTATTAGTGCAGATCGAATGCTATCGATCATGTTGCAATGTGGCCACCAGTCTAGGTGACTCGACACTGCGGGCACTATGTATTGAGATTTAGATGGTGGTTGGAGGTAGTCAACAGGAAACCCTGGACCCAGGTTTCGTGCTACTTGGCACTCGTCAGCAAGGTGTACCTGTAATCTTGAGGGAACTGGTGCTCCCTGGCGGATTCGATCTCGTATCACCCAGCTTCACAGTCAGAGACGTTACCACTGAGCTATCCGAGT